CCCGGCGTCGAACAAGCGTTGGGCATGGCCCGCTGAGCCCATGGACGGCAGTGACCGCGGTCACTGTCACCAGGGGGTGAGCTGCACGCGTGCATGGCCGCTGCTCACAGAGGCGAAGGAGTCCCCAAGCCGCTCTTTGCTGCGGTGGCCTCCCCGCGTTGTGTGCGGCTGCAAGGACGCAGACCGCAGTTTGGGACGCTGAGAGGGGCACGTGTCGTGAAGGCTGTTTTGGAAGACATTAAACCATCCTGATGAGGAGGATTTGAAACCGCTCAAGTCCACCCCAGCCCGTGAAGCTGTGCCGGAGCAGCAGATGCCCAGAAACGGGCCTGTCAAGACATTCCCATGGACTTACACTGGTTCAAACCAAGCATAAAACTGTGTGTGGAGAGTTGTCTGATTTATGATTTGTGCTGTCAGTTTATCAAAACAAATTTTCACCTACTTGTTTGCTCAAAAAGCAGCAAGTATCATATTTGAAAACTGAACTGGGTGATGACTGACTCTTTCAATGCACGTACGTGGTGAAGGAATGACGCTGCGCCTTCCCGGGTCCTGCATTCCCGGCACGGAACGGGCAGTACGAGTGAGCTGGTGGCCGTCAGCTGGGAGGACAGCCCAGGCTGGTAGGTGTGCTGTTTCCAGCCGAGCGGCGGTGAGGATTCCTGAGCGCGTGGGTGTGAGGAGCTGGATGCGTAACATGGCCCCAGGTTACCGATTTCAAGGCTGACGGGCCAAATCTTGAATCTTCACGAATGCAAATCAGTCTTGAATTCTGCGCGCGGAGAGGGCGCGGTGTAACTCAGAAGGGAGACCTGGGAACACGGCGGCTCATCTGGTCAACACGGTGGCGTGCAGTAACGGAGACAGGGGAGCGCACCCCGCATCCCTTACACCGTGCGGTACGGAGGTGTGTGTGCAGGTGTACGTACGCACACACATGCATGCTGAGAAACACCAGGTTGCTGGTTTCCACCCAGGTACTACCAGCAGCTGGGGTGTTTGGGGGGCAGACGGCTGCGTGCAGTAACGGAGACAGGGGAGCGCACCCCGCATCCCTTACACCGTGCGGTACGGAGGTGTGTGTGCAGGTGTACGTACGCACACACATGCATGCTGAGAAACACCAGGTTGCTGGTTTCCACCCAGGTACTACCAGCAGCTGGGGTGTTTGGGGGGCAGACGGCTGCCGGCCAC